CCGGGCTTGAGCCCGCCTGTGCCGCCGCGATTGCGGGGGCCGGCGCTGGACTCGTGTCTCGTGCGGCGGAGGTCTTGAGTGGGAAAGGAGCCGGTGGCCGCTGGCTGCAGCGATGGTGCCCACCCGAGCTGCTTCTCGTGTTTTCTCCTCTCTCCCTAGGCCGCTGTGGTAGGTCTGCCGCTCAGACTCCTGCGCCGAGAATGAATGAGGGAAGGAAGCAAACACAGCCCTTGGCTAAGGACAGGGGCTTTCTGAAGGGTTGTCTGAATCTTGTTCTCTCCCGGCTCTGTCAGGTGCGTGCCTGGTTTTTATCCCTTTTCCTTCCTTGGGCTGAGCTGGGAACAGGTCTGCTCTAAGTGGCCAGTTTTCTTTCTGCCACGTTTAGCCAGGGTTGAGTCCGTAGTGGGGCGCGTCTGCTTGCTCCTGCTCCATTTTTATTTCTTTTCTTCTGGATGGCGAGTGCTGGCTGCCCTGGAGGATGTAAACATGCATCCTGTTTTCCCGTTCTGAAACGGGTACTGCAGGTAAGTCCTTACTTGCTAAGGTGAGAGCTGAGCGCTGAAACATTGGCAGTGATTCCTGCTGGGCGTTTTGGATCGCTGGAGCATGTGCTGTATGCCGAATATAACTCAGAACTGAAGCACATGTGGCTTTTTCTCTCCTGTGTTTCTATGATATTTGCAATCTTCCTGAACTGAGAGAGAGTCATGAAAACAAGGGCCAAACTTAAACCTAGAGAAGATGGTACAGCTGCATTGGAAGCACTACATATGTTTGTTCTGATTTTCCTGCAGACACTCAACTCCAGAACTGACTTTCTGAATGTAACAAATTCTAATTGCTACCTCACTTAGAAACAAGTGAGCTCTGGCTCACCTTCATGGAGGTCACTTGAACTTGGCTTTGCTACTCAACCTTCTCTCTTTTTGGCCAAGAGCCTCATTGCATCCTCTGCGTTTCTCTGTTGCTATAGGAGGAGTTTATTTGGCTGAAATGGGATACCGTTCTTATTTCTCCTCTGTTTAACAGCTCCTTGGTTTCCTAAAACTACTCCCTATGAAGAACAATGCAGTTGTTCATCCTTCTAGGTCCTTTCTCCATACTTGATTATGTGTTGAATTTTTTGTCCATGGTTTCAGGATATTGATGAGTGAATTGTCAAGGGATGCCGTTACTGTAAATAATCCGCATTACCCACATTGTTATGATTGGAATGATGTTGTGTGTCATGTTGATAACGGAAATCAGAAAGAGAAAGCTTCGATAGCCTTGGCAGAGCTAGAGGAGTTCTTGCCCTATTTTGAGCTTTGCTTTCTGCTCTGAGTTACAGGTGTCTAGGTTTGTGTCTGGAGCAGCTAACTTCTATTGGGCGGATGACGGTTCCCTTCAAGAATTCTTCCTTAAGGCAGCCAACTAACAGGGCAGTAGGTTGGGTGTCAGGCGACTCACACTGTAGTCCCAGCTCTGTCACTGATGTATCTTCAGTACCTTACACCTGTTTTCCGTACTAATCTTGTCTATTTCTGTGGTGGAAGGACATGAGTTCATTTAGGACTGGCAAGTGTGCCTGCAGCATGTTAACAAACAGTTACCTAGCTGTCATTTAACAGCATCACCTCTGGTTCTGTTCTGTTGAATAATTACTCTCTTTTTAGGCTTCAAAAAGGTAAATAGGTTTCCCATCCCTTTCTCTTTGCACAGCATACCTCTCTCAGTTGCTGAAATGAGAAGAATCTTCATAATTGTATGATATTTGGGGTGGCAGATTAATTAAATTAATTAAATTCTCTGCTTATTATGATATTGCTGTATAGCTTCATATGTTTTGACATTTATTTTGAATGCATGTTTGAAGCTCTGTGACTCTGAAAATCCTGCGCCAAATTAGTGTATAAAGAATCTGTTATTTTCCTGCTTTGGTCTGCAATGGCCGCTAATCCACTGCTGGGATTGTTTGGAAGAATTGGGAGTCCACGCATAGCCTCTTTCCACTAAAACTTTGACAAATGCCTTGGAAGTTGCAAAAACTGTGGAAGTACTACAGGTATGGTGGTTGCAATTGTCTCCTTCCATTTTTACTTGGAAAGGGGTATGTTCACGGCTTTCTAAGCTACCTTGATCAACAAGTGTGTGGCTACGCGACCACCATGGGCTGTTCAGAGCTCTGGCAGTTATCTCTGAAACAAGCTCATCTCTTGCCTTGCATTTGTGTCGCATTAGTATTAGTTGCTCGCAGAGACCGGTCTTGGTTGCCTGTGGTTTAGCTGAAGTTGAAGGCTTTCTCCAACTTGATAATTAAGCTCTCCTAGGTCATGTTGCCCCTGCCTGCCTGTTCCCATCAAATCTGTTTGCCGCGCTCATCATCTCTGATACAGAACTGCTCCTGGGCTCTGGCAGAATTCAGGGTCATGCTGAATGTGACCATACCACTTGTGACAGTACTGATCATGCCCTTTCATTTTGAGTTGCTGTTTTGCAGGGATCCAGGAATAGAATGCAAAGTCCTGTGAGCAGACGATTTGAGTCCTAGCTGTTTTTCAAGGATTCTGATTCATGGCTTATCAAGGGTATTTATGGAGGGGCCAGGGTGTTGTAATACTGTGCGGTCAAAGGGAGACCAATGGAACTTTCAGTACACTTTCACTAGAAGCTCTGATTGGAGAGAGATCATTGGATACTCTTCTCTCCTTAAGCGAAGAGTGAGAAAGTGCAGTCTCTTGTTTCTTGGGAGACTTACAAAATCTAAATATTTCTGCTCCCTCTGTAATGAGAGCTGTAGTGGTGTTTGAAATTTCCAAGAATATGGAACAAGTCTTCTAGCATTTAGACTGGCTGTATGTGGAAAATGGCATCAAGTGAAGTTCCGTGTGTGCTAGCAGGACAGTAAATAGCTTGATCTTAGACCTTGATCCGCATTCCTTGACGTGACCCCAAGGAATGCAGGATGCATGCTGGATCATGGGTTGATACCCCCCCTGCTGTGACTAGTGTGGGCCAGGCTGTGGAGAACAGAACTTGGAGCTAGGATATGTGAGCTTTGTTCCTGGATCTGCCACCAAGTCCGTATATAACTATGGCTCCATTTCCCATCTGTAAAGTGTTCTTGCATTCTTTAAAGTACTCAGCTATCCAGAGCTGAAAGATAACATCTGTACTTCTAAAATGTACAAACTTGTAAGTGAATTGGTGTACGTGCTGACCCTCAAACCTTCATTAAGTACCAGGGAGGAAAGCAATAGCTAACTACTCCATTCATTCTGCTCCTATGCAGCTGATGTCTCTAGCCAAAGGCGTGTCAGGATAGATTAGACTTAAACCTTTTGATCTGCTTTCAGAGCACAGAAAGGGCAAGTTCCAGGCTGAAAACTGACAGGAGTGCAGTGTTGACCATTCTGAAAGCCTGAAGGGGGATCTGAAAATTGGTAGGATGAGCTATCAAGGCTCATCAGAGATTCAGCAGGTTTTATGCTCCAGCTTGCTCTATGCCAGCGTCTGAAGTAGCTACTTTTAATTTTGAAAAGTTGGAGGAATTTGTGTTCCTAACTTGGATGATTTGTAATCCTATTGTATCACCACTGCTGAGGGTACCAGAGTCTAAATACCTATGAACAGCCATATCACAGAACCACAGTACTGTGTTTTCTCCAACCCACTATTCAACCACATGTCTTCAAGCGGGACTTCAGTGTTAATTCCTCTTGATTTTTTTACTCCTGCAGTAATGTTAGTCTTCTGATTTTGAATGACTTGTGGGGAAACTTACTGCCTTTCTGGACAGACAAGGCAATTGTGTAAATAGATTGAAGGATTATGAACTTTTAAGTGATTTAACCCAGATGTTCATGGTAAATAGGAGTTGATAGCTGGTGTGAGAGAGATGCGGACCTGAGCTTTACCTAGGGCTTAACACCATCAGCTCTGGGCCAGATGGTCTTGCCTCTGAGAAATATATTAGAGCAATGTCTAAGTAAGAGCACAGTTGAAATCTGCTGTCAAGACAGATTTCTCACTGTTGGAATATGTTTCTGTGTGGTCCTCCATTTCTAGGTGATTGAAAATAGGTCTGGAAGGGATTTTGATGAGGCCACCTAGTTCATCTTTTTCCACAACGCATGATAAACTGCGCCAAAACCATTCCCGATAGATATGTTGAGCTTGTTCTTTAAGTAATGGAGATTTTCTAGCTTCCCTGGATAGGTTGTATTTGACTTTATTAAACTTTTTTTTTATACATTGTGACTTTTGTCAGTGTTCTGAATGGGCACAAAAAGACCTGCTAGCCAGTGCAAGGGATGCCAGGTGGTTGACCACTGACCTCTTAATGCCAATGGCCAGAAAAGCAATGGTCATTCTTGGCAGGAGTGGTTGACCACTGACCTCTTAATGCCAATGGCCAGAAAAGCAATGGTGATTCTTGGCAGGGGAGGGGAGTCACTCAATGCAGTGCTTGCAAGTTTTTGTTTGTTTTCCTTACGCCACAGGGATCTTCCATGGACAGTGTGGGAAAGTTAAAATCCGTCCTCCCATTTTTTCTGTGTAAAGTGAAAAAGACCTTAATGCAAACTTAGCAAATGATTACCTTTTTTTTTAAACAGCATCACCTGGTGGTTGTGTGTGTTTTTGGGTGTGTGTGTGTTTGTTTTTACTGTAATGCAATGTAAATTTAACTCTGAAATCTGCTATTGAGAAAAAAGTGGATTCTCATCAGCCCCAGCTACTGAGCTTTTCAAGGCTTGAGGCAGCAATCTGCAAACTGTCAGGTCCAATTAAAGCAAATGGCTGGAGCTGTTTTTCTCCCTCCTGGAGAGAAAACAGTTCATCAAAAGCCAGAAGGAAATTTCATCGGGCTCATGAGCAATTATCTCGTGAGGTGTAATAAGAGATCCACTAGATGCCCAGTGTGAACTTTCACTTATAATCACTCTTAATTCTCCAGTGGGCAGATGAGCACTGATCTCACCAATTTAAAGCCTGAATTTTTTGTGTTCAGTAGAAGCTGGTAGAGAGAACTTGTTCTTTTGTAGGGTTTGACTGATGTTGACTTGTAAATCTGAATTTTGAACATCCCTGACCTGGCAAAAGATATTCCACTTTTCTGTGTGTTGTGGGTTAACCCTGGCAGGCAGCTAAGCACCACACAGCTGCTTGCTCACTTCCACCCCAGTGGGACAGGGGAGAGAACTGGAAGGGTAAAATTGAGAAAGCAGGATTTCATCAGGTGTAATGGTTGCTTGGGAAGGCAAACACCGTTACTCCAAATGTCCCCGCTTCCTGTTTCTTTCCCCCAGCTTTT